CTGATAAAACGCCCCCCTGGTCACGGCCGACAAATGATCTTCCAGTGTCAGCCGTGGATCCAGGAGGACACCCAAGTTGCGCGCCCTCTCTGAGGGGGCCAAAGTTTCGCCCCCTATAGACAGCGATGGAATCAGCTGACTATGCCGGGGCGCCGGCAACCACAGCCACTCGGTCTTGGAAGGGTTGAGTCTGAGTCTGAGATCCTGTGCATGTGCAGATAAAGCTTCGCTTGCCTGCCACTTGTGTAGTCTGGTTCTTGACCGGCCATGGATTGGTACTGATCTGCGGCCCAGGGGTTGGGGACCCCAATCTAGACCAGGAGAAAGCATGGGAACTCGTTTAATTTGCAGATGACACCAAGTTGGGGGGAATTGCTAACACTTTGAAAAATAGGAAAAAGATTCAGAAGTATCCAATAAAATGCAGTTAAGTGATAAGAAAAATAAAGTCAAGTGCATAGGTACTGAATACATTAAACGAGATGAGCACTCAGATTTGATTTCCAAACACAAAATAGAACAAAATAACATTGGATATATTGGAGGATATTTATGAACAAGGGATTTTAATTTTAAGAGTGTCTGCCATTAAAGATATGGGAGAGGAACAAAATTTACCAAGTAAGACTGATTTGAAAGTGGATCTAAAAAAGATGTGCTATGGGAATATGGAAGGAGATGCATTGTATATCCATATATACAAATGAAACTTACTGATGTCTTAATAAAGCAAAAGAGTAACTTTATAAGAGGCTTCTTAAAGCTTGGAAGAATTTTGCGAGAAAGGACAAGGAAAAAAATGAGAAGAAATCTAGTTCTGGGACATTATTTGAGTCGATTAAAGACTAAGATTGCTAAACTAGGACTGAATGACAAGGTTTTAAAAATGTGTTTCTAGATGTGAGATGAAATCTGGAAAGAAATCATTCGTATTTTAAGTGAAGTTAATAATCAATTAAAATTGTTTATAGTTATGGAAGAGAAAGTCAATTTTTTATTTGTTGTTGTTAGTTGCGAAATTGTGTCCGACCCATCGCAACCCCATGGACAACGTTCCTCCAGGCCTTCCTGTCCTCTACCATCTTCTGGAGTCCATTTAAGCTCACACCTACTGCTTCAGTGACTCCATCCAGCCACCTCATTCTCTGTCGTCCCCTTCTTCTATTGCCCTCAATCTTTCCCAGCATTAGGCTCTTCTCCAGTGAGTCCTTCCTTCTCATTAGATTGCCAAAGTACTTGAGTTTCAACTTCAGGATCTGGCCTTCTAAAGACCAGTCAGGGTTGATCGCCTCTAGGACTGATCGGTTTGATCGCCTTTTTATATTTATTTTTTCCCTTCTTTTCTGCACTACTTTTACATTTTATTCTCTTAATTTTATTAGTTCTTATCTTTTTAATTGTAATTTTTAATAAAATTACTATTTAAAAAAATTAATGTAAACTGCAAATGGCCATTGGCATCTCAAATAGCAGAAAATTCTTTTCAGAAACTTGTCAGCCTCTGTAAGAGCAAGTTATGAATAAAGTTACATACCTTCCTTCTTTGTTCTCTTCTTCAGCTACAGTCTCCATGGTATCAGGTTCTGGCTGCTCATTATTACCTTTCTCCTGCTCATTAATCCAGTCAGAAACAGCTTTGAGAGCACGTTCAGTGTGAGAGACCATGTTTTGAACTGCTGTCAGTTCTTCTTGAGTTGGATAAACTGCAGAATGCTTTGCCATGACATGGCGGTCATCATTTACAAAAATGCGCATTGGCCGCTGAAATTTAAAACATAAAATAAGTAAAACAAAAATACATGGCATTTCATCTCATTTCTAAATGACAAATTCTTACCATTTTGCTTCAGATCCTTGATGATTTTTTCTCCAAAGAAAATGTTTCTTCTAAGCTGCACTAGTACTGTGTTCAGGTACTCTGAAATGAATTTTTTTAAAAAAACACCAACTTCATTGAACAAGAAGGTTTGCAATAATTTGGTAGAAAATCAAACATTTATATTCCTGTGAAGATATGACTGCACATAATGTACATCAACCTCAGTGGTTTCTAACAGAAAGAACTCTTGACAAGTAGCACATTGGAACCATTTAACATACTGAGTTTACTAATCATAAAGATTGCACCCCCCAAACAATAGTTGAATTTCTACCACACAATTCTATATATAGTTACTCCAACAAAGCATTCTGAATTTATGAAGTTCAAACATCACCACTATTTCCTCAGTTAAGTCTCAACTTTTGATACCCTAACAAATCCTATTTGTAAACTGAAAGATCTGGTCAAAAGCAGCTGAGAAAATACCAGAATCTCACACTACATTAATAATCCCGAAACAATCTGCCTGATCATTCGATTGATAATTATAAGCAAACATCATGCAAGAGGTAATTCCAGCTCTGCTGTTGCCCCACGAGGGAGTTGGGGTTACTGGCAAAATCTTCCCATCTGAAAAGTTTATTCCTGCCTACCGATATACATCCGTCAGGGCCTAGACGACGTGTCCTCAAGGGAAGAGGGAACAAATTAATGCCGCAATTTTTCACCAAGAGTTTGGAACCTCAGGTCTTTAAAGGTGGCTTCAAGGAGCGCTGCAAAGAGCGCGCACATACACAGGGGAACTTTAGGGGATACGGACTTGAGAAAATATCGCGTACTCTCCACAGAAAGGCAAAGGCTTCCGGGGAAAGAGAGAAGCAACAAGCCCTAGAAGAGCAATCATACGAAATCGAAGGATCGATTAAGGTATCAGATATCTGGAAAGCGTTCCACTCTAGATACCTAAACCAACCCTAAACCCTCTTTGCCTTCAAGAGGAACTCGAGGGCAGAAGCAGCACTCCGAAGAAAGATGTCCTTGTGTGTGTGTGTGTGTGTGTGTGTGTGTGTAAGCTGCGGTAACCAGGAGGAGCAAAGGCGTCATTGTGAAATGCCACTCCAACACGATACAAGTTTTGGAAAACCAGAAGACCAGATAAGCGCGCCCAGTTTCAGGTATTACCCGCTTCCCGTTAAGTCGCTCACGCGCCATTACTGTTCTCCCCCGCTCGCTCACCACCCCATGCCTCCTGACCCATCCGCCGCCATTTTGTTGCCTCCACACAATGGAGCGGGCGCGCGAGTGGCGAGCCAAAGGGGTAGGCAGTTCTCCGCGAGCCGCAGATCCATCCATCTATCCACTATGCCATCCCATTTACACGCGTGTTTCACGCCCGGTCTGACCAATCTATTCACCTGAGGGAATCATGGGATTTAGCGCTGCCTTCCTACGCTACGCTGTCTTCTACTTACCGACCGGGCAGGGCCCGTCGAGGGTGACCGGCAGTATCTCCACGCGAAGCGTTTCGTCGATCAGCCGTTCGAGCGCTCGGTTCCCGCGCAAAAGCGGCGACACCGACGACTTGGTTCAGCTCTAACTGCAGCGTGGGGGGACGGGTGGTACAAAGAAGAAAGTGAGATCGCTCGCCCACGTGATCCGGAGATAGCTTTCTCCTCCAATCAGAGCGGAGAGAAGAGGCGTGAACTAAACTTCGCACGTTAGAGGGTTAAGAGAGCGCGTCTCTCATTTTCTCTCCGCCCTCTTTTCTGCCTCCATTTTATTTCCCGTTTTGAAGCGTGAGTGCGCTACTGTGAAACCGCGGTGATTTCGAGCATTCCATGCCGAATGCTGGGGGGGGAGGGTCTTCTTTTCTCGGAGTTCCTTTGATGCAAAAGGAAACGGTCACAAAGAGAGTAAAAAGATCAGATGTAAGGCGTTCGTCGCGAACTTGTGAGCGCTAACTGGGAAATAAGTCACACACTATTTGAGGTGAATGCTATTCTGTCCCTCTCATAAAAGAGCCTTCAAAGTTAAAAGCATTAACCTGAAATTGGCTTGAAAGGGAAAGGTAATTAACATCATAGAGAATGGCAAAGGATGGGTTGAACCTCATGAAAACGGAAAAATGTATGGGGGGGATTGGTCTAACTCATCAGGAGGGTTTTAAATTAAAATTGAGGGGAAAGGGTGACCAATCTTTAGAATCCCTAGAACCCAAAACCAATCATAAATTCCAAGAAAACAAATCAAACAATGAGGTAGGTAGTGATAAAAAAAAGAAAAACTCAAACAACAATCAGGAGATGCAGGAAACATACCCACGGACAGGCATAAAAGTCTTAAATGCTTATATACAAATACTTAAAGCTTGGGGAACAAACAGGGAACTAGAAGCAATAGTACTCCAGGGAGGGTATGACATAGTTGACATTACAGAAACCTGGTGGGATGAAACCCTGGAGTTAAATGGACTAATGGATGATACAAATTATTCAAAAGAAACAAGTCTACAAAAAGAGGAGGGGGAGCTGCACTATATGTAAGAGAATATTACATATCTATAGAAATGCACATGATATGCATATGGGTCAATATAAAAGAGAAACAAGTGACATTGCCATAGGTGTATATTATAGGCCACCCAACCAATCAGAAGAAATAGATGAACTCTTTGCCAACCAGTTAATAAACGTATGTAGTAAACGTACCATAGTAGTAATGGGAGACTTCAATTATCCAGATATCAACTGGGAGACAAACTGCAGTGAGCGGGAGATCAAACAGATTCCTAGCCAACAACTTTGTCATCCTTAAAGGGGGAGGAGGGAACTAGAGGTAAAGCTATTGTTATTAATTGCGAAGTCGTGTCGACCCATCGCGACTCCATGGACAAGGTTCCTCCAGGTCTTTCTGTCCTCTACCATCTTCTGGAGTCCATTTAAGTTCACGCCTACTGTTTCAGTGACTCCATCCAGCCACCTCATTCTCTGTCATCCCCTTCTTCTATTGCCCTCAATCTTTCTCAGCATTAGTTCCTTCTCCAGTGAGTCCTTCCTTCTCATTAGGTGGCCAAAATATTTGAGTTTCAACTTCAGGATCTGGCCTTCTAAAGAGCGGTCGGGATTGATCTCTTCTAGGACTGATCGGTTTGAACGCCTTGTAGTCCAAGGGACTCGCAGGAGTCTTTTCCAGCACCATAGTTCAAAGGCCTCAATTCTTTGTCGCTCAGCCTTACGGTCCAACTTTCACATCCATACATTGCAACTGGAAAAACCATGGCCTTGACTATACGCACTTTTGTTGGCAGGGTGATGTGTCTGCTTTTTAGTATGCTGTCTAGATTTGCCATAGCTTTCCTCCCCAGAAGCAAGCGTCTTTTAATTTCTTGGCTGCAGTCCCCATCTGAGGTGATCTTGGAGCCCAGGAAAAAAAATCTGTCACTACCTCCATTTCTTCCCCATCTATTTGCCAGGAATTGAGAGGGCAGGATGCCATGATTTTGGTTTTCTTAGTGTTGAGTTTCAAGCGTTGAAAACGTGAGAGGAAGAAGTGGGCGTAGTTCTCCGAGAAATCAAGGAGAAGTGAAAGACGGTAATCTCACCATAGTAGACGTATAGAATCCAACAACTATAAAGAGGGCCGTTAGAATTAAGGTTGAAAACTAAGTAGATCGGGACGGAAAGAGTACTACACGAGACATATATTCAATTTATCCGTCCCGCTGTCTATACAGCTTTGCCGGACTCCTTTCCCAATTTTGAACCAATCTGGTTCCGTGTCCAGTTCTCACTGTTGCTTCTTGATCCACATATAGGTTTCTCAAGAGACAAATAAGATGGTCTGGTACTCCCATCTCTTTAAGAACTTGCCACAATTTGTTGTGATCCACACAATCAAAGGCTTTAGCATAGTCAATGAAGCAGAAGTAGATGTTTTTCTGGAACCCCCTAGCTTTCTCCATGATCCAGCGTATGTTGGCAATTTGATCTCTAGTTCCTCTGCCTCTTCGAAATCCTGCCTGTACTTCTGGTAGTTCTCGGTCCACATACTGCTGGAGTCTAGCTTGTAGGATTTTAAGCATAACTTTACTAGCATGTGAAATGAGTGCAATGGTGCGATAGTTTGAACATTCTTTGGCATTGCTTTTCTTTGGAATTGGAATGTAAACTGACCTTTTCCAATCGTGTGGCCACTGTTGAGTTTTCCAGATTTGCTGGCAAATTGAGTGTAGCACTTTTACTGCATCGTCTTTTAAGATTTTGAATAGCTCAGCTGGAATGCTGTCACCTCCACTGGACTTAATTCTTACTAATAGAGAAGAAGTGATAGAGGGAGTTGAAGTGGCTGGAACATTGAGTGAAAGTGACTACATCATCCTGGAATTTAATAAAATGCAAACCCTAGCAATAGAAAACAATCCAATCAGAGACTTTTGGTTTTTGTGCCGTAGTGCACAGCTGCGGGATTATGGAGCTCCGCACCCCATGGCTGATTTCACCCTGCCAGGGGACCCTAAATGGGTCTGAAGTCACCCTGGAGAGGCGACAAAGAAAGAGGGGTGCCCTGATGATCACAGAACAACAGCGGTCATTCCGTTCGATCAGGAGAAGCCCTCCAACCTGACAGGAGAAAGGTTAGCTGCACGTCAGTGTCTAGCCCAAGCTACTTGCAGCCGAAGTCCAAGAGCACAAACCAGAACAACGGTGAACAGCGTGCTTGGAACTGGCGAGAGTAACGACCTTCTCTCTTCTACTCTGTAACTAAGTCCTTGGAAAAGATCCCCAAAGTAAGAAAACCTCCGAAAGTGAAGGGAGGGGATTACACCCCCACTCCCCCATAGACAGAAGCAACAAGTTAACCTTTAAGGGGGAAAGGAATATATTGAAATCAAATTTAAAATACTACAGTCTGGATAAATCTAGAAACTAAAAAAAATAGCTAAGATTATATTTTAAAGGGTTTTGATGAAACTATAAAAATAATAATTTTCTGTCTGAAAAAGCTGGAAAACAAACAATTACTGACACCTAGTGGAGAATTACAACTTAGAACATTAACAACACTGACTCAGAAATTAGCAACATGCCCAGAAATAAGAATCTGTTCCCTTGAACTTTAATAACCCTCAAGAAGACAGCTGGATGGGAACAAAGAAAGAATACATACTGGGCCAACCATAAGATTAAAAAGTGTCTAAAGGAAAAGAAATACTCTGACTATTGTTTAAACTCAAGAATTATTTATAGAAAAAGAAAAAAATGACTCTTTGCTAATCTTTTATGGGGAAATTTACAGGAAGGAATATATCAAGTGGAATATATAAACTTGGAAAGCTACTTGGCAAAAGAAGAAGGCTAGAGACAGATTCAAGAGATTTGACTCACCCTACCAGATGGAGTATTACATGAGCAAACACCTGTTTGAATATGGTTAAAAGAACAGATAACTTTGGATATAAAGGGGCCCTACAATAAGAGGGATAAGAGATATAAGTAATATAGTATTTATCATAATATATGAAATGTAAAAATATTGGGATGAAATGTAAAAAATATGAACCAAGACAACACACTGTACACTAGGCACTAAGGATTATTATTGCAAAAAATCAAAGCATTTTTTTAAAAAAAGAAAATCCCAAATTTCAAAAGAGCTGACTTTAACAAACTCAGTGGACGCGTGGGGAGAGCCCTCTCTCCACCATCCAGTTTCCCTTCGTCGAAAGACCCTGGATAGGGTCGAACGTCGTCCTGGAGGGGCGACCACCGCTGAGGAGGACCCTCACTAGATCGCACAAGGGTGGTAGCCCTTCCGTTTGATCCAAGGCAGCTCCTTTGGATCGACGAAGAAAAGATCGGCCATTAACATGGCCGATCA